TTATGTTTTTCCTTTGATCCATTGATTCGGTTTGAAATTCTACCGAGTGTAGGTAATTTTTTTTCGATTTTTCATCTCGTTCTCGTTGGATTTCCCCCCCTTCAAAAAAAAAAAAAAATTTTTTTTTCTTTTTTTTTTTCCCTCAGTTTAAATACTGGGTGAAAAATAAAGACAAGAAGGGGATTTGAAATTTTTTTCAAAAAATTAAATTAGGTTTGTTTTAAACGATTTAAAAATGTTTTATCAGCCGGAAGCTGACATAATCGGCGCGTGATGATTGTTAAAGATTTAGGCGCGTTTTGGGGATTTAATAAAAAAAAAATTAACGAGGTTATGACTAAAAAAAATTTAAGAAGATTTAAATAAAAAAGTTAAATGTTAAACTTTTTGCTATTTCGTTTTTTTATTAAAGTATAGTTAGAGAAAAAAGACTCCCCATTGTTGTTGTTTTTTCATTTTATTTATTTTTTAAAGTGTTTTTTTTTTTTTTTTTAGGCGCGGTACCCAAAATTTTGTAAACTTTTTAACATTATTCAATGATAAAACCTTGAACCTGATAAAAAATGTTTCTTTTTTGTTTTTTTTTTCAATGAAAGCTAAAATATTACTACAAAAAACATTTTTTAAACTTTGTTTTGTCTTCTTTCTTTGTTGCAATTTATTATAGTTAAAGTAACCATAATGTTAATTTCCTTTGGTGGTGCGGCGGCCACCACCGCCGCCGTCGCCGCCGCTGCCACCACACCATCGTTTAAAAAGCCGCGATTATTTACGTTCGCGTCGCGTACATAAACCCATCGTTCACATAAGCTAAACATAGTCGCACAGGTTTTAAATAAAATAATTTTTTTTTAAAAAAAAAGGTAAACAAATTAAAATTTATTCGTACGTAAGGTAAATATGAGTTTTAAGAAAAAATAAAACACTAGTTCATGACTAACGAGGTTTTATATTTAAAAATAAGACCCACCGCGAAGACGGGAAAAAAAAAAAAAATTCTTCGAGTTTCCTCCCGGGATAGCCTAAAAAAAAAAAAAAATTTTTGCCCTAAATAAAAATTTCTTTTGTTTTCTGTTTGTTTTAAATATTTAAATGACGTCACTAAATGTTTTTTTTTTTAAACTAAATTTTATAACGGATACCACACGGATAGCAAATTTTTTTGTTTTTTTTGGGGGGGGACGTTACTCTTGTAAGGTATTTTCTAGAAAACGTTTTTTTTTTTTTTTACGATAAAATTCTAAAAGGAAAAAAAATGGGGGAGAAAAAGGAAAAAAAAGGAAAAACCCGACAACTTTTGGTTGTTATTTTTATTAGTATTATTATTTTATGAAAAAATATTATATAAATCATTTAAATGTTAAATGAAAAAATGGCTTAAATGAAAATTTGTAGAAAAATATTTTTCGAATCACGTTTTATTCAAAATCGTTCGTTAAAAAATTTATTTAATTTTTTTTTTAACCGGAAAATAAAAATAAAATTTTAGAAATTAAAGGGGGGAGGGGAAAATGTCGGATTTAAATAATTAAAAATAAAAAAAAATAGAAAAAAAATATTAACGGTGTCGGCGATATAAAAATGTCGGTTAAATCATGTTGGTTTTTTACCGTTGATATATATAAAATATATTAAAACGATGCGTGGTGATTTCAATATCTTTTTGACGGGAGAGGAGGGAGGGAGGGGGAGAGGAAAAAAGGAGCCAACTGCTGCTCCCGTTCCATTCAATATTACCATTGGTCATTTCCGATATCCCCAATATATATATAATATATATGCGATATCGAAGTCAATGAAGCCGCCACCCTCCTCCTATCGGTGTTGTTTTTCCCCATACCGGTCCTGACAAACGATCAGAAGGGACAAAAGGAAACGGAAATCGCTAAATGCGTATAACTATTTGGCTTTTGTTATAGGGAAATTCAATTTCATTTCTTTTCCAGGAATCACGTTATATATAAAATTATTATTATTTTTTCCTGTCGCCTATCATTTTTTTTTTTTTTTATCTTCGTTTTTGATTGGTTCTTTTTTTTTTATTAATAATAATAATAATTAAATAGGATAAATAAATATTTGATAAGAAAAAAATTAATTGACGTAACGTAAAAAAAAAATGAGATTTTTATTTTAAAAGTTCAACAACCCTAAGTTTTTTTTTTAATAAATCATCCCTCTTTTATTGACCTCGTTTTTCTCGTGCTTTTTCTTTTTCTAAATAAATTTTCCACATTTTAAATTTAATTGTCGTTTTGAAAACTTTTAAAACTTTTTTTTTTTAATATAATATATATATAATTAAATTTATTGTTTAAGGTAACTGAAAAAAATTTTTTTTTTTTTCCTAATTTATTATTATTATTCTTACGAAAAAAAAGAAAAACTAAATTTAGTCAAATGAGGTTGAAATGTGAAGGGTTGAAATGTGTCAGGAACTAGAGGGAAGTTAAATCGCTTAATTGGTGACAGAACTCGTGACATAGATGTTGAACCCCATTCGACCCTCCAGGAAATAATCCCTATGCGAAATCCCTATCTTTCTCTCTCTCTCCCTTCTCACATCCTTCCCAGTCCCATTAGTTTCTTATTCTTATTAAATAAATAATAATAATAATAATAATTTAACTAGAATTAGATTTTTGTCTATCAACAGAATCAGATTTTAACTAAACTTTTCTTTCTTTTTTATATTGACCGGGAAATTCGTTCGTATTTTTCCTTTTTTTACTTTATTAATTTTCATACTCGATGGAAAATTTTGTCGCGGTGATAAAGAAAAACTAAAACATTTTATAAAATATATTATCATTATTAAACTCGAGTCGATAAAATAATAAATTGCAATTTTTTTTTGGAGAAAAAAAAAAAAAAACGGCGCAGGTTGTTTTCAGGTAAAATTTTTTAATATTATTATTATTATTATCGGGGGAGGCTGGAAAATTGTTAGGTCGATGCGCCAATCAAATTATAGCTTTGATAGAATTGGTAGAATCGGATTCGGCGCTGCTGCGTCAGCAATTTTTTGTCACTTCGTCAAGATTTTCTTTTTTTCTTTTTAAAAATTAAACCAAGGTCAAATTAGTTTTACGGAAAAAAATAATAACAAAACTAAAAATCTTTTTAGTAAATTAATTTTCTGTCGTCTGCTGTCCATTCATAATTCCATCCGGAATTTTTTAATAATAATAATAACTTTTCTTAAGTTTTTCCAACAATTACACGTAGTAGTTTTCACAATTGACATAATATCAAAAACGCTTTTCAATAAAATTTAAAATGATTAATTAGTCTTTTAGTATAATAAAAAAATAATAATAATATACTTTTTATATATATATATTCATATATAATATAAACAAATGGTATAAATTTTTTTTTTTTTTTTTTATACATGGTAATTAATAATAATAAACGTGAACAAAAAATATTATACAATAATATAATTTAAAAAAAAAAAAAAGAAAAAAAAAACAAACAAAGAAAATTTTATTTTTGGTTTTATTATCATTTATTATTATTATTATTCATTCAAATCCACCATTAAAAAAAAACAACGAGACTTTTTTCTTTTTAGAATTTAACATTATTATAATTATTATTATTATTTTAATAAAAAAAAAAAAATAAAGTCGTCATATGAGAATCAAGTTACAAGGGCATCACGAAAAGTTTTTAATTGATTAGGGTATTTAAAAAAGAAAAACACGTAAGAAACGTCATTTGTTAGGTTGTAGACCTTTCAAGATGGTAGACAATCGGATGGAAGGCTTTTCTTTTAAAACAGAATAATATTAGTTTTTCTTCATTCATATTTAATAATAATAATAATAATAATAATAATAATAATAATAATAATAATAATAATAATAATAATAATAATAATAATAATAACACTGCAAAAAATTATTTATTAACAAAAAAAAAAAAAAAAGAAACAAATAATTGTACTGAAAATAATCTAAAAACAATTCCTATATTATTTAACTTATATTAACTTGTTATTATTATTATTTTCTGGTTTCTCATTGACCGTTACTTAAATACATATATTTACAATTTTTTTTAATAATTATTATTATTATTTTTTTTAGTAACCATCTACTCGTATTAATTTAAATTGTTTCAAATACTGTAATAATATTTAGCTTTTGAGGCTGTACATATTAAAACAGTTTTAATTAATTAAGCACCGATTAATTGCAATTTTCACTTAATTTATAATTGAAAAAAAAAAAAAAAAGGAAATTGTCTTTTCGTTAATAATATTATCAACGTTATTGATATGATATAATTTTCCCTCCACTCTATTCGTCTGGCCATCAATCGATAAATTCGTTTTCTTTTTCATTTTTTTTTTTTTTGATTTACTTATTGTGTGGAGAAAGAGAGAGAGAGAGTGAGAGAAATTAATTATTGATGTTTTTGAAAGGGGCATTCGTCGTTTTTCTCATTGCATATGGTATGATGGCCAGAAAAATGCGCAGAGACCGGGCAAGCAATCACTCCGAAGCCCCGAGAATTTCAGCTCCACCCCGACCGTCTCTGACGTCACTGGTACAAATTTTGAGAATTTGTGACAGAATTTTGAATACCTTCGGAAGGTCCGGATCTTCTCGTTACCTCTTCCAGTCTGTGTTTATAAAAATCACGCTCTTGTATCGCTCTGTCACGTTCCTGAAGAAGTCTATGATTTTCCGCTTTTTGTTTTGATAAATCGTTTTTTAGGGATCTAAAAAAAAAAAAAAGCATGATTGATTTGAAAAAGTTTTACAATTTGAAAATTTTTTTCGGAAAATTTTTATACTCACGTATTTTCATTTTCTAATTCTTGTTTTTGTTTGATCCTTTTGCTCCTACAATTGTGTGCATACGTTCGATTTTTTAACGTTCTTCTTTTTTGTTTTAATTTGGTAACTACATCTTTTGGTACACCGTGAAGACTTTTGTTTAAATCTCTTACTGAAAGAGTAACAAGGGTTTCATCGTCGATATAATTTTCCGATGCTGCGGCTGTAAGAAACATTTTTAAAATTCAAGATTTCTAACTCCTTATTTTAAAAAAAAAAAAAAAAAGTGCGCAGCATATTGATGATGATGATGGTGATAATAATAATAACACTGACCTAAATTAGAATATCTGGCTGTTAGAGCCGGAGTCGAGGCCAGGGATTTTGGTAGACCCATTACCCTTCTTGGTGTTGCCGGGCTCATGGGATCCATATCTTGATAGTCGCATGTTCGCATTTGTCTATCGGGATGTATTACGGCATCGTCATAATCACATGGGTGGATGGTTTTATTTGGTGAGATGACGGAGCCGTGAGTGGAGGTAACTGACCACTCCATTTCGTTTTCACCATTGCAATTAGGCCTTAGATCAAGGGGTTCAGATCCGTGTCTTTGTATCTGAAAATCGGTGATCAATTTAAATAAAACTTGATGTTTTAAATATTTAGTTTGAGAATTGCGATACACAAAGGTCGTTGCCCGACTAGGAACTTAGCCTAAAATAATATTTTGCAATACAACGATTGCGCTCAGAAATTATAGTGATTTTTTTTTCTTTTTTTTTTTTTACAACAAAACAATGGGGGTATTTTTTTTATTTATTTATAAGAGGCTTCCAGGTTTTTAGGCTTCATCATTATTTACTATTTGTAATTTAAACGATGCCTAAAATCACATTATTAGTCATTTTATTTTTTTAACACAGATTTTTCATCACTCATTTATTATTTATTGAAAAAAAAAGGCAGACTGATAGAATACAGATTGTAAACTAAATCACAACGACCAACATAATCAATTTTGTATCGAAAGGTCTAACAAAATCCTTTTTTCGGAGGAAACTTGACTTAACATGGCTTTTTTTTATTTTCCAATCATAATTAAGATAACGTGGACGTGAAAATCAAAATTTACTTTTGACATAAATCATAAATAATAATTCGAGACTTATTTTTTTCATAAATAAATATATAATTTTCATTTTAAACAAACATAACCGCCGTTTGTCAGTTTCACAAGGTAAAGGTTTCATTATGGTAAAAAAAAAAAAAAAAAAGATAAAACTTACCACGCGGGAAAATATCGATTAGGCTAATAAAATAAAATCAGAGGCACCAACTGATAAAAAAAAAAAAATTTCATTTTTAACGCCCCCACGCGGGGAAAAAATAAATAAAAAAATAAAATAAAATAAAATAAAATAAAATGCTTTCAACGCGTCGATGTTTGTTGGCTAACTAAAAAAAAACAAAATGAAAAAAGAATTTTTACGACTGTTTTTAGCTTTCGTAACTCTCGTCCTTTTTAAAATTATAATTTTGATAAGAAAATTTGAAATTTTACTTTAGTCAGCGAAAGCTCTGTCAAAGTCTATTTTCTCTAATCATACTCGAATAATTTATATATATAAAATCAATTTCTATTTTTTTTTCTTACGTAAGCACATAGGTTCGTTTTCGCCATTATTAATTTTAAACCATTACAACCTTTTCCTCCATTTTTTAATAAAAAAAAAAAAAAAAAATAGCCATGACCCTCAACGGAAAGGATTTTTAATTTGTTTTCTGTAAAACGTACGTAATTATAATTAAATATAATAATAATAATAATAATAATAAAAGTGAGTCAATAATTTTAAAAGTATTCAATTTAATAGTTGTTATTATTATTATTGTGTCTTATTGATGAAAATTAAACATAAAATAAACGGTTAACATACATTATATAGATAAGGTAAATAAATTGATGGATATAATATGTTCCACCGTGTCATTTCTTTCGACATATGTAAAGGAAAAGAAGATAATTGTTCAGTAAAACTTCGAGGTTATCGAACAGGTCATTAATCGGTTCATTAAGAACAAAAAAAAAAAAAAAACAATAATTAAATGCAACAAAATGCAAGTAAAAAAAAAATAATAATAATAATTAATATTAATGATAATTTTCTTTAACATCCAATTAATTATTGTTAAAGAAAATAAAAAGCTGTTTAATAAATTAAATAATTTGTAAAAAAAAAAAACGATCATGAAAATGTTTATATATTATTGCCGAAGACTTTTTTAACGATTTGTTCAAAACTATCGATATTAATTGTTTTAAAAAAAAAAATTTCCACGATTTTCTCTCTCTCTCTCTTTAAACGACCCAAACGCGCCATCCGTGTAAATAATAATATTTTATTTACATTTAATTCATATATATGAATTTATTAATTTATAAACAAATGAATAAATTATATAAACAATTTATTATTACTACGTACGATTTGATTTTCATATAATAAATTATAAATAAAAACATTTTTTTTTAAACTATTAAAATGTTTACTATTATCAGGTTTATTTATAAAATTTTTAAAGAAAACACAATTATTATTATTATTATTATTAACTTATTGTTTTGTTTTATACGTACGAATATAAACTATTTTTTTTTTGTTTGTTTATATATTATTTACTTATTTAAAAAATCGAAACGGTTTTAAAATGAAATCGATCGAATAAAAAATTCCCGCCATTTTTATTTATATAAAAAATTTTCGAAATTCTCACCCCCCCACCCCACCCCGTCGGTTTTTATCAATTAAAAAAAAGGAAAAAAGGAATTCGTTTTCCAAAAAAATTTTCCTTTGAATAATTCTAAAAAAAAAAATATTTATATTTATCATTATTATTATTTAGTTAGTAACGAATTTAGTAATTTTATTAGTAACGAATTTTTTATGTAAAAGCCCGCGTATTAATAATTTTAAATTTTTTTTCGTCATGGAAAACGATTGCTTTAAAAAGAAAATTGTTTTCGAAAGGATAACAGGTACGATTCAAAAAAAAAAATGGCGGGTAATAAAATTCGTTGTGCGTGAGTACGTGCGTACGTGTGAATATTTCGCGGGTATGACTCTATTTGCGTTTCTTTTATTTTATTATAAATACAATAAAAATAATAAAAAAAAATTTACAACGAACGGCCTATTCCTGAATAATAATAATAATAATGAGAGGAAAAAAAAATTAAATTATCAAATTAACAATTTAATTGAGTGAGAAAGAGAGAGAGAGTTAGTGTCCCCGGGTGTCGTGAATTTTGTACGTTTTCGAAAAATCACGTTTGTTTTGTAAAGGCAATCGTTGGTTGTTTAACGAATCAAAACGTAGCACGTGTCTCAAAATATTCATCAGAAGAATCCTAACAAACACAAACAGGGTTATATTCTTTTTTTTAAACAATACACCGACGGATCTTGTATAAACTGACGACTGGTTAATAAGAGAGAGAGAGAGAAAAGAGTTTTTATTTATCATAAGCAAAAACAAACGGACAAACACACACACACACACACACACTATTTACATCCCTTTGATTGTGGCAAGTTATGATAACAAGAAAATTAGTTAAAAATTTTTTAAAAACAATTTTTATCGTTTTATTATAAACAATAACGGTTTTTAATCCGTAAGAAACGTAAAATTTCTCGACGATTTTTTTTTTTAATAATTGACCTTGTTCAAATTAACAGAAAAAAATTTTTTTCCCGAAGCCGATTTTATTCAAACGGGGAAAAAGAACAAAAAACAGGCAATTAAGAAAAAAAAAAAAAACGTTTTATTTAAAATAGGCACGCTACCGTTAATTCCTTGGTTTGTAATGTGTTTGCTTCCTAATAGGAAGCTCTAGGATTAATCAAACCTGAATTTTGTTTTTTGACAATCATCATTATCATCCAGGCAATATTTTGTAATAGCTTGCATATGTTTATTCAACAACAACAACAACAACAACCAAAAAGCCAAATTTGGGTTGCAATCGGTTGGAAAATTACGAAACTGAAATTCATTTTAAAAAAACTTTTGTTTCTTAAACATTATTTATTGATCGAATTTTTTTAAAAAATTTTTTTCCCGCCTAAAAATTTATATTTTAAGGTTTGCCCCCCTCTCCCCCCTCTTACATGTTGCTTTGAGTTATTATGCAATGATTTTCGTTATGCTTTTCGTTTACAAGTAACTTTTTTTCGAACAAAAGGTTTCTACAAGGATATTGTCAGGTTTTCTTCTTTTTATTTGCATACCTACCTACCACTCTTAGGTTACTACCCGGTTATTTACAATAAGAAGTATTAAAAGGTTTTAGGTCTTTTCATGTGACACCTTCAAAGTAGTTACAACTCTCAGGTGTTTATTTTAGGGGACCCGAGTGACTAACGATACAAAATTGATACGATGAAAAAAAACCTCTTACCTGCTGTCGTTGAAAAAGCCAAGCGCTATCGTCCATTTCAGGTTTGCTCAAGCAATTTAAATTATTCGGCGGTTGGGGATGCTGTGAATCGATTCCATAATGCAAGGGACTATCCGTCGAACGACTGCTCGGTGGAGTATCCGGAGGTGTTCCCGGTGTGCCAGGATGAAAAGCTATCATTTCCCCTCTGGAATTCGAAGACTGAGATTGATAAAGAGCCATGCTATGATGATGACTATGGCTATGATGGTGGTGGTGCTGGTGCATGGCTCCGAGTATCGAGCCTTCGTGTGAGAATAAATGTTCGTCTCCATTATGAATAGGAGGTGTTAATATTTGATGGTGCACCGCCGAGGGCGCGTGAGGGGGTATAAGTATTGTACCGTTGTTGGTATGAATTGATGGTAGTCTTTGCACTATCGGACTATTTTCATCGTATTGTTCAAATCACTGTGACGGTCTTGTTGTTGTGCACGAGAAACATCCGAATTTGCTTCTCTTTCACCACGTCCAAATGATGCAAATCAAAGTCTCGCAAATACTCCTGAGCGAGATTGCTTTTGGCTTCCATTGCAATAGACTAGCATAAAGCCACGATAGCAAAAAATAAAAATTAAAAAAAAAAAAAATTTCTATTTATTTATTCACTTTTCTTTTTTTTTTTATAACTCGGTACCATTTTTACAAGACATTTTAATATGTATATAAGTAAAAAATTCGTTTGAAATTATAAAAAAAAAAGAAAAAAACTAGAAAGAATAATAATAATAATAATAATAATAATAATTGTAGTTGCTGTTGTTGTTGTTTGTTTAAACAAAAGGGATTTGTCCACAGGTTACAAACTCCCACACGGTTTCAGTACGATGATCAGCGATAAACTGGCAAGAATAACTTTCTGGAAAATATCAAAATCTTGCGCGTGGGTCCGAAGGCGTTCGAATAAATGGGGATCCGCCCCCTCAACGCTCATTGGTCATACAATTTTTCTCACTCAGATAATCTAGAAACGCCTCCTTAATTAATATTGTTATGTGCATAGTTTTTACAATGACGAAAACCAATTTTAAAAAAAAAGCTCTCTTTTTTTTTTTTTTATTATTCTCTCTCTCTCCCTTTTTTTTCTCTCTCGCTCTCTCTCCTGGAGCAACATGGCCGACGTCTATTTTTAACGGTCATTTCATTTTAAAAAAAAAAATTTCATGAGAAAAATAAAAATATTATGTGCATTTATTTTATTAAAAAAAAAAAAAAAAAAAAAACACGAATTGAATAACGTATTTTTCCGTTTTTTTTGGGGGGGGGGGCAGGGGGAAAAAGGGGAAGGGGGATGGGAAGGGGAGGGGAGATAATGATTTCAAAATCATCACTGACACGGGAGATAATGTTTATAAAAAAAAAAAAAAATCTCTGATTTCTTTTGTTCCATTTAATAAATTTTGACAATGTACCTTTTTTTTAAAACTCATTTTGGCTCCCTATCGTCTCGCAATGATAGAATTTTAAATTGATATTATACTTTCATGGTAAACAAATCTCATAACCAATAATTTTAAAATTTGAAAATTTACACGTCGGTTATATAATAAATAAATATATATATATATATATATATATATATATATATATATATATATATATATATATATATATATATATTAAGTCCGGGCGAGTAACTTTAATTATTTTGTTCAATTGACCTAGAATTACTTTTTATAACAATCAATTACCGTTTTTGTTAAATTATTATTATTATTACTACATTTTCTTTTGTTTGAAAACAAAATTGATTTTTCTCATTATTGAAAATTTTGTTTCGATCTTTAATTAATTGATTGATAATAAATTATCTTTGAAAAATATACCCACAAAGGTGGACATACAAAAAGGAATAATGTACCTAAAACCATTTGTATATTTTTTTTTTTCTTTTGATTCAAGTTCTCGTTTATTTATTTAAACAAAAAATTTTTAACGGTTTTTTTTTTAAACAGAGAGGTTGATTCAACTTCTTTTTATTTCGTTTAACGTATTTATGAATTTCTTATCAAATTTTTTTCTTTTTTTTTTTTTCCTGTCTGTGTAATGTGAGAACCATGATGTTTTTTTTTTTTTTAATATGCCGGCAAGTTCGTGCCTTATTGACTTACATTTGTTGCTGTGGCTATTCACCACCATACTTATCTTATTATTTATAAAAAAAAAAAAAATTTTATCCGTTTAAAGTATTTATATTTCACTTGTTTAAGTTTTTATATATATATATATATATTTTTTTTAATATGTAGTTTTGTACGGTTTTAAAACCGTTTCGTTCTGGAACCTCTTCCAAATTCTACTTTTTTCCCTTTTGCTATTCCAAAAAAAAATTGACTTTTTTATTAATCGTTTGTCCGAATCAGCTGGCTGATAGGAAAAAAATAAATTTTTTTTTTTTTTTTTTAAATAAGTCAAAATTGAGGTCAAAACATTTAAAATTCATTTAGGGTTGTCAGCACTGAGCTCAGCTGAAGAATAATAAAAATTGCTGCGGTAACTAAACATTCTTATCTTATTGCTGATTGTCAGCTTTTGCTGTAGTAGTAGTAGTAGTAGTAGTACCGTAAAATTGTTGTAGTAAATATTATTGGATAAAAAAAAAAAAATGGCTTACGAATTGTCTGTCTGGACGCGGCTTTTGATGACCAAATGAAACTGTATTTAAGAGACGCCATTTTGCCGTGGGCAGCTTTTCTTTTGAAAAAATTTTTTTATCTAAACTTGTTCGCGTTTGCATTATTTATTGTTTGTTTTTGTCGCGAATAAGTTTGTTGACCGGTTTCTTAATCTCCGCAAAACCTGTTTTCTATATATATAAATATATATATTAAAAATTTCGAATACTTTGACCTTTTATTAGGTCGTGTCAGGCCTTTTTTTTTATTTATCGTTTCTATTTGTTATTATTTCCTTACCATATGGATATTTTTAATAATCAATGATGAGAATCACCTGTTATTATTATTTTTTTTTAAATTAAATCCTTAAATTATTTTTAAAATAAACCCGAAAAATATTTTTAGAAACGGTTTATGACGTAAAAGGGAGGGAGTGAGGTGGGGGAAAAAACAACCGACCGACCGATCGCCATTTTTACAAAAAAATTTAACGAAATCGCGTAAAATATCTGAATAAAAAAAAATGTCTAACGAGAAATGAGGAAGCTAATGAGGAAACATAGAGAAAGAAAAAAAAACCATAGAGAAAGAAAAAAAAATCATAGAGATAATAGAAAAATGTGAAAAAAAACAACCAATCACAAGTTAGTTCCTTTAAAGTATTTATATATATAATTTTTTAGCGCGTAAAAAATAATTTTTTTTTATTAATATTATTTAAATAATAATAATAATAATTTTTTTATTAATGCTCGTTTCCCGCGCTCGTTTTCCAGGTATTACAATATTAATTTTGCATAGTCCATCAATTTTTTTTTTTTTTTTTTGGTGTCCTCTGCAACTTCCTGCCATTGAAAAAAAAGCGCATGTTTTGCGAATCAAATATCGATTACCCATCAATAGGAGAAAAAATAGATTACGAAGGGTTTTTTTGTATTTCTCATCAACTTTTTTCTTACCTCGCTTGGACATGAGTGAGAGAGAGAGAGAGAGAATCGTTTGCGACCTTGAACAATAAAAAAAAAAAAAAAAATTTTCATTACTCCCTCCACGTTTTATTATTATTATTATTATTAATATTACCTATGATTTTTCCAAATCCTCCTCGTTGTGTATTTTATTTATTTATTAAAAAAGGTCAAAGGTTAAAAATTTTTAGAAAAATTTTGTGTTATACTCGAATGGATTCTCTGTAAATTTTTTTTTTTTCAATTCGGTTATAATTTATTTATTTATTTATTTATTTTTAATATAAAATAAAAATTAAGATGAAGGAAATGAAGATTATTATTATTATCATTATCATTATCATTATTATTTTAAATTGTTTCTAGAAGGGTAAGAAGAAATATTAAAATTAATAAATAAATAAAAAAAAATTTTTTTTGTTCACCACGTAAGCAAAATAAAATGATACGATGATTACATAAATCGTAAATGATTAGTCTGAAAAATATTAATCATAATAATAATGATAATGATAATGATAATAATTTTCGTTGGGAAAATAATATCGATCCAATTAAATTTTTATTTTATTTTATTTTTTTTCATTGAAGGAAATTTCGATGATGATAATAATAAAAAAAAAAAAAGTTGCATTCAAAAAAAAAAAAAAAAATTTAAAGGAATCGTCGTGGTTGCAGTTAATTATTATTATTTTCCGCGGGAAAAGGGAGAGGGAAAAGGAAGGGAAATTTGTCGCGAAAAATTTAAAAACAAATTTTCCATTAATAGTAAATAAATGAATTACGATAATCCAGATTGTAAAAAAAAAAAAAAAAAAAAAAGGAGTCAATAAAAAAAAAAGAAGAATTTTTTGACGCTTTTTCCAGAACTTTTTCTCCGGTCTATAATAAAATTGCCAGTATCAGCACCTTTTTCTCTCTCTCTATCTCTCTCTTTCTCTTTCTCTCGCGCGCACACGAAATTCATTTTCTTTCCATTTTTCTTTTATTTCTCTCCCCCTTCACCCCACCCTCTCTCTCTCTTTCTCTCATTCTATTCCTCTCAGTTTTTCTCTTACTTTTCTTCTTATTTTTTTTTCTTCTATCATTTCTTTACTCTCCGTCACACCTAATTTTTCCCATTTTCCTTTTACTCTCAATTTTCTTCTTCTTCTTCTTCACAACAACAGCAACAGCAACGTTCCGTTTGTCTTTGTCCTATATATATATATTATTTTCTTTTTCCCTTTTCCCCACCCTTCCTCTTACCTTCCCCTCCATTTTTTTTAACCGGGAACTAAAATGCTTTTAGTAAATCGATTCGAGCGATCGTTCATCGATCGAGAAATCGGATCTCGATGTTTATTTTAATTGAAAAACTTGTTTTTGGCAGTTTCAGCATTTTCATCCGTTTTTTTTTCTTTTTTTTTTTTATGCTGCTTAATTCAGGCTTGAAGCTGACATTGAAAACTCGTTCGGAGGTCACGCAATAAGGCCTTCAAGTCATTCAGCGATATTTTGCTGAAATATATTTTTTTATTTCTATCCTTTTTGAACACGAAGACAAGATTTTCAATTCGCACCTGACGACAGGTACACAAATCCTACCTACCATTATTATTATTATTTAATAACGTCAGCCGTTTGCAGTGAATTAAATTTTTTTTGTTTTTCTTTTTTCTGATTTTTGAATTTCATCATTAGCAGCTTTAAACATTTTTAAAAATTTTATTTATTTTATTTATTGATTGATTTCATTCCCAATCTTTCTTTTTTTTTATTGTTTTGATCTCTTCTTCGCCGCCATTTTTTTTTATTTTTTATTTTTCGTTCTTGTAAATTGGAAAAAGATTTCGTAAAAGAGAATAAATAAGAGAGTTTTCCATTATCTAATTGAATTTATTTTTATTATTATTATTAATATTTTTTTCAACGTTCGAATATGTCGAATATTATTATTATTATTA